CCTGCCCTCCTGCTGCAACCTCTCCTAAAGCCCCCCCCCCGTGAGATTCCCCCCTCAGTGCAGGGGAGCGGGGTCAAAGCCTCCACGTCGTGGACCGTGAGGTAAATGGCGCTGGGTGGTCCTGGCATGCCCAGCAGACAGGCTGAAGGGTGTGAGGGAGGGAAATTGCCTCCCCCCACGTGCGAAATCTCAGCCGCTGGGTGCCAAGATGTTAAAAACTCAAATGATTCTGAAATAACATGGGGCCGATGTAGACTAGACAAAAGACATGGGGAAATGTCCTCGCGCTTTTCCTTGCTGCCATATTCCGCATGTGGTATGGTGGCGTGTTGGCAAAATTCGTAGTGGTGGGCAGAAAAGTAGGTATGGGTCGTTCAACAACGCCGCCTTGCTGAAGCGATTGTGCAGACTGGAAGCGTGCAGAAGAGGTAGCGAAAGAAAGCCAGTTCCTGAACCTGGAAAGTTGATGGGTTGAGTAAAAGGGATGTACTTCTTCAACTGCTATCAAGAGTTGGGAAGCTATTTAATACGAAGCAAATAGTGAAAAGTTGTAATATATGTAGTATAACCATACTTAAATCACAGCACCTATAGATGAGGAAGTGGCGGCCACCTACCTTGGGATGGAAAATTATTGGATATTGAGTAAGGCAAAGGGTCCAACATACCTCTGATGGGTGTGGTATAAGAACCTGAATTCATTATATATAATGATTTATTTGTGAAATTTCTAGTGGGGTCAGCAAGGCATGGTCTACTTGTGAATCACTGTAATTAGCTTAATCTCATGGTGTAATGTAGAAAATGTTTATTATTTCAAAATTGTGGTAGAAATAACTAAAGATAACAGTAATTCTTGGCTCACTGCATTTTCAATTTTCAGTTCAGATTAAATGCAATATCAACATTAGAATATGTATTTACAAGTATCAGTTAAGTAGAAATGGAATATCAGAGTGTTACATGATGGTACATGCTGAATAAAAATAGTCAAAGGAGAGAAAAGAGGAAAAATACATTTTCCTCTTGATATGAAATGTTTTATAATGTTAGAGCTGGGAGGTAGATTGTAGGTGGGTGAGGAGACTTTTCTTTTAAGCTGAGAATGTAGACAGCTAAATAGTAGACTATAAAACATCTGAAGAAGTGGGATGTGCCCACGAAAGCTCATGATACCATCTACATGTTTTGTTAGTCTATGAAGTGCTACCAGACCATTTGCTTGCTGTTTTTTTTCTGATCTTCCAATGATATCTGTGAATGTGCTTAAGTGTATTCACTGTGAACGGACCCAAAGGCTAGTGGGATTAGTTGTTGTGCCTAAAGTTAAATTCTTACATAGGCCTCAGTCCATCCTACATTTAGCAATGATCATGATAATTGCTGCCTAAAATACGTAAAAACAATATAAAATGCAGTCTTCTGAATGGGAACCTAATGAAGTTGTAGGTCATCACATAGATAATTTGGAGGAAAAATATTTGGATGGCTCACAACCTCTCAGTAAATCACTGTTTTTAAAAAACGTACAACTGTATATTCTGTTCCCAAATAACTTTATCAAAATATTATGTGCAATATTGTTCTTTGTGCTTTCCATATTGTTTTCATTTATAAGCAGTATCTTGTCAATGACTTCCAAGCCAGAAAAGCTATTACTTGGATGAATATTATCTTGTTTGATAGCTTTTAGGGAGAAATAAGATGGGCTTATTTATGAGCTGTGTCTTGCTAGATGCCTTTTTTTTAATGTGCATTTATTTTTTTCCTTCCAATAAGCATTCCAAATCAAACACACACATTGTGAAGCTTATTCTGAGTCAGGGATGTTAAATTTTGATTAATCAGCTAATTGAGTAGTCAATGGAATTTTCATGGACTACTTGATGGGGGGAGTTGGGGTGCTCACTATCCTGGCTGTACCTCTGCCTTTTAAATGTAATAAGAGCTGCTCGTGGCTACATTTCAAAGGCAAAGGCGCAGCAGTCAGTACCTAGCATGAGCGGGGACTGCTTTAGTCACAGCTTGTACTGTTTCCCCACTGTGCCTCTGACTCCCTTGCTCCCCCTCCAACTCTCCCCAGGATCGGCTCCTGCTTCCCCCTCCTTGCTGCCTTTCTCTGATAGAGGCAGCAAGGTGAGGGGAAGTGACTAGTCCAATCACTACTTGACTACCTGATGAGCATATGCTAGTCACTAATATCCCTATCCTGAGTGTTAGCTCTTTGCAAAGATCTGCTATTATGTGTGAGAATGAATTTAGTGCCAATAAAATACTCACTTTTTGAGCTACCTAAAAAAAGTCTATTTGCATTTAGGAATGAAGTATTAATCCTGTAGAGCAATTATGTTTTATATAACTTCTCTGCTTCAATTTAGATTTTGCAGGTTGGCTGCTAAGAGCACAATGAGTAGTGAAGAGGAAACATGGGAGAAGTTGGATGCGGAATTTGATCACTATGTTGTAGATATGAAGCCGTTTGTACTAAAATTACCACATAAATCAGGTAAACTATGCTACATATTTGCATGTAAACAAATATAACAATGACAAATACTCTAGTTTTACCACAGAATCTTGGTATATTATGAATTGCAAGTGTATAATAAGGACATCTTTGTGCACTTGTAATGCATTTTGATAAATAACAAATTAAGTACCACAAACCTAATGTAGTAAAGTGCATCATATGTGCACAACTTTTAAAGTTGATTTTAGATTATCATTTAAGCACCTTTTGTTAATGCTGTTTATTCAAGCTCATCCTTCTTATTTTGATGACGTAAATGCACTTTTGCATAAATATATTAATTCCTGTATTTTCCAATTAATGAATTCAGTGGAAATTAAAATTAAAGTAGGCTTTGTCTTAGAGATTATGTCATTTATAAAATTGCAAGCATTTTTAGCGATAAATCTGTCAAGACACAATTATGTTCATAAAAGAAGTAAATCCTGTATTGGAACTTTTTTTAATGAATAGTACAAATACAAGGTAGTGAATGATGTTTTATGAGTTAAGTGATTTTAGAAATGAACTGCAAGGAAGTAATCTTCAAATTAAGAGCCTGATTGTGCAAAATCTTTGTTTATATCAGTAATTCTTAATCCTGCAGTCTTGCGTTCCAGAGAAGTATTTGTTTGAGGAAAGACTACATGACACAAATATAAGTTTCCTGACTCAGGTCTTTTAATTGGATGATAAAATATTAATGTTTATAGAAATGGTATTTTGTAATTAAAGGTATGATTCAGTAAGAACAGAGACTGCTCTGTTCCCACTGAGTGTAATGGGGAAATTGAAGATGCTGAGTGCCTTACACAATCTGACATAATCAGAAGTAGGCTTTCAGATCATTTCAAAATAATAATACTGTAATCAGATTACTTTCAATACAGCAGTTTTAAATTTTGCATATGAAGCACACATTAGAGGCAATATTCTTCTATGGATTTGAGAATAACTAATACTCAAAATGCTTTATATAATAGAACACTGTAAACCTGAGAGGAGAACCTCTGACCTGTGGGTTGCACACGGCCTGCCAGCAGCTAAGCTTGCTAAATTGTTAGATGGCTTCTTTACCTGGGCATCCAAAGGCACGGAGCCCCACAGCTTCCAGTGGCGGCAATTTGTCGTTCCTGGCCAGTAGGTGCTGCTGAAAACAGCGGTCTGACCCATGTCACTTTCTGAATCTTCCATTGGCTGGGAACTGTGCCAATTGTAGGGCTCTGTGCCTGCGGATGCTCAAGTAAAGAATTTTGTGGCATACCAGTAGCTAACCCTGATAAATTGCTTGTGGCTGGAGGTTCCCCACCCCTGCTGTCAAGTAATTATTAGGGCTGTCAAGCGATTAAAAAATTTAATTGCGATTAATCATGCACTTAATTGCGGGTGCCTCCCCTTTGAAACACCGCAGCTCAATTTCAATGGGGCAGCGCTGTATGGAGCCAGGGATTATCTGGAGTCCCCAGCTGACCCTGGGCTCCATGCAGCACTGCCCCTTGGAAGTGCCATGGTAGCCTTTCCAAGGGGCAGTGCATTAGGAGCCCCGACTTCGCTGTTGCAAAGCCCCTTTGAAGCACCAGAGCGACACTTCAAAGAGGCAGCGCAGTATTAAGTGCAACAGTGGAGTCGGGGTTCAGCTGGAGTTAATGCATTAATTGCAGGCATTAATCCAGGTCAATTGACAGCCCTAGTAATTATACATATGAATCTACAGAAATTAGTCTTAAATGTGTCTCTCTTTGTCCATTTGAAAATTTAACTGTTATCATGGAACAACCATTCTCTCATGTTCCGAGGCTGGCACATACTTTTCCATTTAGATGAAGAGTTTTGTTAGTCTATGAAGTGCTACCAGACCATTTGCTTGCTGTTTTTTTTCTGATCTTCCAATGATATCTGTGAATGTGCTTAAGTGTATTCACTGTGAACGGACCCAAAGGCTAGTGGGATTAGTTGTTGTGCCTAAAGTTAAATTCTTACATAGGCCTCAGTCCATCCTACATTTAGCAATGATCATGATAATTGCTGCCTAAAATACGTAAAAACAATATAAAATGCAGTCTTCTGAATGGGAACCTAATGAAGTTGTAGGTCATCACATAGATAATTTGGAGGAAAAATATTTGGATGGCTCACAACCTCTCAGTAAATCACTGTTTTTAAAAAACGTACAACTGTATATTCTGTTCCCAAATAACTTTATCAAAATATTATGTGCAATATTGTTCTTTGTGCTTTCCATATTGTTTTCATTTATAAGCAGTATCTTGTCAATGACTTCCAAGCCAGAAAAGCTATTACTTGGATGAATATTATCTTGTTTGATAGCTTTTAGGGAGAAATAAGATGGGCTTATTTATGAGCTGTGTCTTGCTAGATGCCTTTTTTTTAATGTGCATTTATTTTTTTCCTTCCAATAAGCATTCCAAATCAAACACACACATTGTGAAGCTTATTCTGAGTCAGGGATGTTAAATTTTGATTAATCAGCTAATTGAGTAGTCAATGGAATTTTCATGGACTACTTGATGGGGGGAGTTGGGGTGCTCACTATCCTGGCTGTACCTCTGCCTTTTAAATGTAATAAGAGCTGCTCGTGGCTACATTTCAAAGGCAAAGGCGCAGCAGTCAGTACCTAGCATGAGCGGGGACTGCTTTAGTCACAGCTTGTACTGTTTCCCCACTGTGCCTCTGACTCCCTTGCTCCCCCTCCAACTCTCCCCAGGATCGGCTCCTGCTTCCCCCTCCTTGCTGCCTTTCTCTGATAGAGGCAGCAAGGTGAGGGGAAGTGACTAGTCCAATCACTACTTGACTACCTGATGAGCATATGCTAGTCACTAATATCCCTATCCTGAGTGTTAGCTCTTTGCAAAGATCTGCTATTATGTGTGAGAATGAATTTAGTGCCAATAAAATACTCACTTTTTGAGCTACCTAAAAAAAGTCTATTTGCATTTAGGAATGAAGTATTAATCCTGTAGAGCAATTATGTTTTATATAACTTCTCTGCTTCAATTTAGATTTTGCAGGTTGGCTGCTAAGAGCACAATGAGTAGTGAAGAGGAAACATGGGAGAAGTTGGATGCGGAATTTGATCACTATGTTGTAGATATGAAGCCGTTTGTACTAAAATTACCACATAAATCAGGTAAACTATGCTACATATTTGCATGTAAACAAATATAACAATGACAAATACTCTAGTTTTACCACAGAATCTTGGTATATTATGAATTGCAAGTGTATAATAAGGACATCTTTGTGCACTTGTAATGCATTTTGATAAATAACAAATTAAGTACCACAAACCTAATGTAGTAAAGTGCATCATATGTGCACAACTTTTAAAGTTGATTTTAGATTATCATTTAAGCACCTTTTGTTAATGCTGTTTATTCAAGCTCATCCTTCTTATTTTGATGACGTAAATGCACTTTTGCATAAATATATTAATTCCTGTATTTTCCAATTAATGAATTCAGTGGAAATTAAAATTAAAGTAGGCTTTGTCTTAGAGATTATGTCATTTATAAAATTGCAAGCATTTTTAGCGATAAATCTGTCAAGACACAATTATGTTCATAAAAGAAGTAAATCCTGTATTGGAACTTTTTTTAATGAATAGTACAAATACAAGGTAGTGAATGATGTTTTATGAGTTAAGTGATTTTAGAAATGAACTGCAAGGAAGTAATCTTCAAATTAAGAGCCTGATTGTGCAAAATCTTTGTTTATATCAGTAATTCTTAATCCTGCAGTCTTGCGTTCCAGAGAAGTATTTGTTTGAGGAAAGACTACATGACACAAATATAAGTTTCCTGACTCAGGTCTTTTAATTGGATGATAAAATATTAATGTTTATAGAAATGGTATTTTGTAATTAAAGGTATGATTCAGTAAGAACAGAGACTGCTCTGTTCCCACTGAGTGTAATGGGGAAATTGAAGATGCTGAGTGCCTTACACAATCTGACATAATCAGAAGTAGGCTTTCAGATCATTTCAAAATAATAATACTGTAATCAGATTACTTTCAATACAGCAGTTTTAAATTTTGCATATGAAGCACACATTAGAGGCAATATTCTTCTATGGATTTGAGAATAACTAATACTCAAAATGCTTTATATAATAGAACACTGTAAACCTGAGAGGAGAACCTCTGACCTGTGGGTTGCACACGGCCTGCCAGCAGCTAAGCTTGCTAAATTGTTAGATGGCTTCTTTACCTGGGCATCCAAAGGCACGGAGCCCCACAGCTTCCAGTGGCGGCAATTTGTCGTTCCTGGCCAGTAGGTGCTGCTGAAAACAGCGGTCTGACCCATGTCACTTTCTGAATCTTCCATTGGCTGGGAACTGTGCCAATTGTAGGGCTCTGTGCCTGCGGATGCTCAAGTAAAGAATTTTGTGGCATACCAGTAGCTAACCCTGATAAATTGCTTGTGGCTGGAGGTTCCCCACCCCTGCTGTCAAGTAATTATTAGGGCTGTCAAGCGATTAAAAAATTTAATTGCGATTAATCATGCACTTAATTGCGGGTGCCTCCCCTTTGAAACACCGCAGCTCAATTTCAATGGGGCAGCGCTGTATGGAGCCAGGGATTATCTGGAGTCCCCAGCTGACCCTGGGCTCCATGCAGCACTGCCCCTTGGAAGTGCCATGGTAGCCTTTCCAAGGGGCAGTGCATTAGGAGCCCCGACTTCGCTGTTGCAAAGCCCCTTTGAAGCACCAGAGCGACACTTCAAAGAGGCAGCGCAGTATTAAGTGCAACAGTGGAGTCGGGGTTCAGCTGGAGTTAATGCATTAATTGCAGGCATTAATCCAGGTCAATTGACAGCCCTAGTAATTATACATATGAATCTACAGAAATTAGTCTTAAATGTGTCTCTCTTTGTCCATTTGAAAATTTAACTGTTATCATGGAACAACCATTCTCTCATGTTCCGAGGCTGGCACATACTTTTCCATTTAGATGAAGATGTGGAGTAGGGATGTAAAATCCTGTTTAATTAGTTAACTGGTTAAACGTTACTTGGTAAGCATTACCCATCAAGGCAGAAGCTGGTACGCATGGGGAGCTGGCTTTCAAGCTGGCTCCCCGCAGGCACCGGTTCTTGTGGAGCCACGTCTCTTCCTCCCCCCTCCATGCTGATGCCTCTTAAACAGCAGGCAGAGCTGGTGCTTATGGGGAGCTGACTTAAAAGTTGGCTCTCCTGGAGCACCAGCTCACTCTCCTCTCCTCCTCCCCCGGTGAAATTAAAATTTCAATGGTTACATTTTAACATCCCTACTACACACAGCTCCTAGGTACCACCTCCCTGCACCCTGAATGGTTTTTCAAAGATTTTGATTGAGTGCCCTTCCTCTTGGAATTATATTTTTCCTTGCATTTCACCTGGGTGGTCTTACTGAGGTGAGTTGGGGTGGAGGTGGTACTCACTCCTTGGCTGCTTTCATCCGTGCTGAGTCCTGGAGTTTTTATAGCATATTGAAGGGAACCTCAGAGAGAAAAAGGTGAGAACCTCCTGATATATACAAAGTTATTTTGTGGTTCTTTTGTAATTTCTGCTGTTCTTGAGTTTGTTCTGTTTTCTCAGAAAGTCTGTTGTTAATGCATGTATTTTTCTAGAACGTCAGAGATGTGCACTCTGGATTAAAAAACTCTGTGAGCCCTCAGGAGCAGGTGCAGGAATCATGGGTAGAAAGAATCGGAACTTGTATGCAAAACTGTTACTGCATATGCTGAAACGAGGAGTGCTAGAAGGCCCTTTTACACATAAACCTGAACCAGGAATACTGAAAACTTTGCCTTCATACATGGTGGGTATTTATTTCATTTTTATGGAGAACAAGCCTGAGTAGTTCCTAAATGTAGTTTAAAAATTATATTTTTAAGTATTCACTTAGAGATGGAGACAAATTCTGCAGTGATTTGAATGGAATGGCAAGGAGTAAATGTTGTCCTGTAACTTGTACCATGGTTCCTTTATTACTTTGCAACTGGAGTTGGCAGATTTCTAGGTCATTGTGAACTTTTGTGTGTGTGATCTGTTTTGTTTTCTTCTATTATTTTTATTGGCCTTCTTGTAAACATTGAATTTTCAAGACATTCTGAAAGTTTGGAAAGATTCCTTTTGATGATAGCTTATTAGTTGCTAACAGCTGTTTGCCTTTAAATATATTTTACGTTATTTGTATATAGCCAGTACTTTCAAAGTTATACTCAAACTTCAGAATAGTATTACGAAAGGAAAGAGAGTTTTTTTGCTTGAAACGTTGAGCTTAGAAATTTGATGTTCTGGTGTATTCCTGGCTTTGTTACAGACTTAGATGGGTAATCAAGTAAATATTCTGTGTGCTTTTTAAAAACAACTCTGCCACTCCCATTAAGTTCAACACTTCTGAAAATCAGTTCTTTAATATGTTAGTATTGTAAAATGCATTTAGCTTTTGGAATGAAAAACATTACTTTAATCTGCAGTGGTAGTACTATCCAGCTCTTGCACCAGTAACATTGTATTTACATATTTGAGTATTCATTATGCAAATAAAATGTTACCGTTCTACTAAAAGTTTGTGAACGGGTTTGCTGGTCCGTGATACAAAAAGACCCGGCCTCCAGAGTCCCCAAGAACCCCCAGCACCAGCCACTGACCCCAGAATCCTCTGCACCCTGCCTTCAAAGCCCCTCAGTGCCAGCCCCTATCCCAAATGCCTCAGTGCCTGTCCCCTGTCCCTTAGAGACCCAAACCACCAGACCGTCTCCCTCCTTCCGCGTGCCAACCTCCTGTTTCCAGCCCTGCCCCTATATCACCTTCATTATTAGCCCTGCCCCCAGAGGTCCCGAGTGCCAGCTCTCTACCCCCCAGTGTCCCCCCCCTGCCTCTTAGAGCCCCCTCCCTCCCCAGCACTAGCCCATCCTCCCTCATCTAGCCCTTTGCTGCCTCCCAGCCGCCAGCTGAGCACTCCTGCCCATGTTGTGGCTGTTCTAAGGCTGACCTGCCAGGCTTTGCATGGCCCTCCCATGCAAAGTGTTCTTCTGTGGCTGGGAGGAAATCCCATCCTTGCTGAGCACTGGTTGGTTGAAAGGCAGGGCAGGACACGCCCCTCCCAACAGCCGTGGCAGGAGGGGATGCGCTGGGCAGCACTCGCCCGTGGATTATTGCAGGAACTAGGGATGTTAGATAGTGGGTAATAGAACAGTCGATTAACTGCATGGATTTTTAGTGGTTAGTCGACTATTCTGTAGTTCCTGGGGGCAGGGCCAGGAGCCAGTGAGCTCCAGCTCCACTCCTGGGGAGCCCTCTGACACCCTGCGCTGCTACCTTTGTGTTAGAGGCAGCAGCATGGGGTGCCAGGTGGGAGCTATTCTTTAACAGGAGCCATTTAAAAAATCAGCTCCCTGTGCAGTCCAGCTGACTGCCAAGTTCTCCATGGACTGAAGTTGCTAGGGAGAAGGGAGAGTGGGTGTGGGGGCTGTTCTGGCAGCAGCTCCTGTTTGCAGGGAGCTGGGACTCCCAGGGGATGCAGGGCAGCCTCTGTTTGTGGAGAGCTTGGACCTGCATGGACAGGCAGCCCCTGCCCACAGCGAGCCTGGGTCTGCCATCAGCAGAGGCTGTTTCATGACAGTCTCCCCTGCTTCCTCTCCTTCCCTCCCCACCATGCTGTTGCCTCTGATAGAGGTAGCAGCATGGGGGGGGAAGGCAGATCACCGGCTCCTGCTTCCCCTCGTACTCTTCCTTGCTGCCTCTGATACAGAGGCAGCCGGGGCGAGGGTTGGGCAGAATGCGAGTAGTCAACTAGATTAACTGATAAACCTAGACTTATTGGTTAATGATACAGTTAGTCGACTAATTTATATCCCTAGCAGGAAGGTTGTTCCCTAGTTAGTCATTAACATGATATGTAGCTAATCCTGATCGTGCTCTTCAGAGCTAGTTAGCAATTTGTGATACTGTTTGTTAGCTATTAGTGATTCAGGGTGTACAAAGATATTTTGTGGGGATAAAGTGCTATGTAAACTAACAACTATTTCCCCTTATATCTAGGACTCAGTGTTCTTGGGCCCCTATTTTACTTATCCATTCCTGTACTCATGGACCTTATTGGCAAACTCCATTTGACTTTTGTGGGAGTAGAATTAGTTTCTTTTTACTGCTTTCAAACCAGCATGCATGTGAAGATGCTAAAGAAGAGAGTGCATAGGTTTTGTTTTTAAAGGTCTAGTTTAGGGATATAAGTGACTACTCACTCTCTCCCATTTGCTGCCTCTATCAGAGGCTTAAAAGCCAGTTCCCCCTGCACCGTCTCTACTGCGAGGGGGGCAGGGTAAGTAGAGGTGCAGTGGGAGAGTGGCGCAAGTGGGGACTGAAGTAGTTCTCACTCGTGCCAGTCCAACTGCTGTACATCTCTTTTTGAAGTGTAGCAAGAGCCCTAGTGAATCGAATTTTAACATCCCTAGTGTAGCTGTTATGTTAATCTTTTCAGACTCACTGGCTTTTTAATATTTTTTTAAATATAGTCCATCTATTTTGATGAACCAAATTCAACAAGAGCACAGAGCGGTAGCCCAGAAGCTTTACCTGACTGGGTCATGGGAGAACTAGGAACAAGTGAATCAAAACTGGAGGAATCATTGAAACTGTCTTCTAGAGAGGAGTCAGCTTTGTTAGCATCACCACTTGCACAGAGGTAAGAATTAAAAATCCAATCTACAAATAACTTGAAGATTTTCCTGGCGTTGCTCACATCCTTAACTCAATTCTTAGTTTTTTTTGGAAAGTAAAATAATAATGTACATGCTTCATTTAAATCACAGTTCTAGGGTAGAGCTGAAGATGAGGGATACAGTATGCAGGCTGCCCTGGGGAGAGAGGCCTATCCCAGCCCTCTCTCACTGCAGCAGATTGGGCCAGGTGAGAAGTGCCTGTCCAAGGCTACTGCATCTCCAGTGGGCACAGTCGGGGGATGGGGGCATGTCCCCTGACTTGGGCAGGTCCAGGTTAATCTGTTTCCTGAGCTCCCCAGCCACAGTGAGGAATGCAGAAAGCTGTGTACTTTCTCCTTGCTGTCTGATGAAGGGGAATAGCCAACAGTGCTCCTGTATGAATTGGGGAGAGCTTCAGGCCCCCCATGCTCTCTAAAGTGTTCCTGGGGGCCAGAGGTTTGGAGCTGGGGTAGTCCTGGATGGGGGAGGACACCTCCTGCTAGCCCCTTTCACCTCCTTACCGTGCTTTAAGGTATCATAAGAGAAAGCTGGATCACTAATTTGGTGATCCTAGTTCTTACCGTTTAGGAAGAGTTCTTGAACAAATGGACGGATGGACAGAGTGACTGAAGTGTATAATAGATGCTTATTAACGTGGTGAATTGGATATAATCTTACTCTTTTAAGTGCTAGTTTTCTGTGTATAACGTTAAGGCGGCAATGTCAATCAATGGAAAGTTTGGAAATGTCAGAATTTAATTACAATGTTGATTCTGCCCTCATAAAAAAACATTATGATAGTATTTAATTATATGATCACAAACTTTTTCTCTTCCCCCATTGATTCAGTTGAATCTTCCTGCCCTTTCTTCTCTCACATCTCTATTGGCTTCTGCAATCATTCCCTGTCTTCTTGCTAGGGATGTGAAAGGTTAACCAGTAAACATCACTCTTGATGGGTGATGATTACTGATTCCAGTTAACCCGTGGGAGCTGGAGTCAGCTCCCCAGCAGCTCCTGCCTGCTTCCTGCCCGACTTCTGATATCAAGGAATCAGCGTGGGGTGGGGGAGCCTTGTGTGTAAAGGTGAAGGTTAACTGATGAGCCCTGGCTCAATGGTTTATGGCTTAACCGTGGACACTATCACATCCCTAGTATTCACTTAAATCTCTATTAGATTTAATTCATGCACGTAAGGAAACAGGCTCTCCTGACATGTGTTCTTTTACAAACTGTGGATGAGTTTTCCCTAAATCTATAGCTTTTCCTCTAACTGGTGTAGTCAGGATGTCAACTAGTGCAGTTTCATCATCTCCAGTTGATCCTGTACAAATTAATAAATATAAAACCTCCTGCTAAACAAACAAAGTGCACAAAAAACTTATATTTCACACATATATTTTTATGGTGAATAATTCATTGCAAATTGGAGCTGAAGTTGAATGCTGCCTCATAAATTTTACAACTCTTCTACTTGTCCTTTGAAAAACCTCTTTTAATCTTAAAAGATTTTTCCCCCTTAGTGTGTTTTTGATCACTTTATAAAATCTTCTTTTACTTAGACCTTTTTGTATGTGAGGCATTTCTAATGACATTTTAGATTATGCTGTTTGTGTGCTAGCCCTTTTTTATTTTTTATTATTAAAGATGCAGTCTTTTGAAGTCGTTTTCTTTGCGCTCTGTTAAGCAGAAATGATAAGCAGTTCTTTTGTGTATAAAAACTGTGGAACGTTGTCCTATGTTCTGCAAAAATGTCCTATCACTGCAGTAATCCAAAAGTGACTGTGGTCTGGCCACAATCTCAAATATGGGTGCTTAATATTTTGAATGAAATCTGTCTCCATTGTCTTGAGTGGGTGTTTTGCCATTCATTTTGGTAGGTCACCCTAGATACCCAAATATCAGTAACTTAATTTTTCAGAGGCACTCAGCACCTACCTCATGTATGATGATTAATTGTTGACTTAGGAGCTCAATGTTAGGCACTACCAAATATGACATTGTTGCTAAGAGATGTTAGTATTTTACCTTTGATCATTTATATGGTATTTGGTTTTAAAACCACATTTTTCTCACATTTTACCCAAATGTTTTTGCCTGTGGAGGCCACTTTTTAAAATCCAGGCAAAACCTAATTGATGAGTGTGATGGGATGGCACCTCCCCGCACTCAAGCCCCAAGAAGTCCACCTGGCCCAGGTGGCTGAAGGGGCCCCACCCCTTCAGCCCTGCAGAGCATACTCAGACTGCAGGCTGGGGGTAAATACCTGGAGAAGCAGGCAGACAGGGAGGGCTGAAAAGGCAGGGGCTTGGCGAGGAGCTCCGAAGCAGCCCAAACCACCACCTGAATCCAGTCTGCTATTTCTGCTGCTTCAGGAGTCCTATCAACCCCTGCAGGAGTCTCGCTCACCGTCCAAGCTGCTCCAGGAGCAACCCAGGAGTAACCTGCAGAGGGACCACCCTGGCAAGGGGAGAGGTGGGAGACAGCCCAGGGCGGAGAAAAAACCTCCGGGAGGTTGGCGTGTTCTGGCAGGCATCCCTGCCAACCAGGCAATGAAAACCTTTGCTATCAGGGCCCTGGGCTGGGACCCAGTGGAGTGGGAGGGCCTGGGTCCCCCTACCTCCCCCACCACTCCACACGCCACCAGCAGAGACTGCAGGGGCATAGTACTTTGGAACTAGGTTGGAGGACAGTATTTCCCCTGAACCAGGGGCATTGTACTTTGGGACTAGGCCAGAGGGTCGTATTTCCCCTAAACCAGGGGCATTGTACTTTGGGAGAACTAGGCTTGGAAGGGCTGAAGTTTACCCCAAGCCTGGGCGGCACCCTCGACACGGGGTGCACTCTTCAACAGTGAGGGGTAAAACTTTCAAAAATGCCCAAGTTCTCTTGAAAGTGTAAAGAAAAATAAGCGTGACTTCTAAATCAGTCACTTGGGGACTTCTAAACTTTTTACTGGATGGCTCATCCTTCTTCTAACAGTGACTTAAAATTTGGGAATATCTTGATGTCTATTATACTCTAGATAACACATGTCACATTTGATACTCTTGGTCTGTCAGTTGCCTTCACTCATGTTCACCGATACTGACTTCTTATCTTGAGTGCAGATGCCGAGCACAGATGTATAATATTAGCAGTTTTCATATGAGTCCTGACACTTCCATATTACTTTTCTAAGTTTGGTCAGACATTTCCCCCTCCCCTTCCTAACCCAAATGTCATAAATAGGAAAGAAAAATAAAATACATAAGGCTAGATATGGTGTGTAGCTAGTGTATAGCTGTGTCATACTAAAAATAGAGCCAGAAAGGCTTTGTGCTTTAGAGTTGTCTCTCTGAGACATGATTCCTCTGGAGCTCCCTTTTTGGGGGGTTAATAAGGTTGAAGTATGTTTCTTTAGCGCTGTACAAGATGCTGCATGCTCCTCCCCTCTTGCATCCAACCAAGTCTGGTAGTCAGCTGGGGGGGGGGGGGAAGCGGGCCTGTTTTTCCCCCTTCTTTTTCTCTATCCTCTAACTTGCTTGCTTGATTCCTCTCCCCTTCCTTCCCTCTCCCACTGCGCACCAGCCTTAAATGTAAAAAGGCTGGAGTGCAGCAGGGGGATCCGGCACAAGCTGGGAATCAACAGTCCCGGCTTGTGCCAGGTCCCCACTCTGTGCTTCTAATTTTAAATGTATTAAGAGCTAGAAGGGAATCAGCGATCCCAGCTACCTCCTGCTTCCCCTGCCCTTCATGGAGATGGTGTTGGGGGGTGCTTCCTCAGCACTGGCTCCTGCTCAGGCCCTTTGCTGCCTCTGAAAGAGGCAGCAAAGTGGGGTGGGGAAGTGAAAGGTCGACTAGTCACTTACGTCCCTATTCTTGACCGAAGATTCAGATAGGTCCTATGCAACTGCATAGGGAGTGTGTGGTGGAGAGACTTCACCTCATTTTACTCTTCTGTGTGACTACATAACACGAAGGCATTTTCTAAACCATAGTTAGCAGCTGTTGTGGTTACTAAGAAGACATATGTTGTATCTGGTATCTGAAAATCCCTCTGAAGTTCCCTGTTCATTAAGTAGTTGTAAAAATTAGATAACTCATTAAAATCTGCGCTCTGTGTATTTTCAGAGTTATTTGGTTATTGTAGGGGAAAAGAGAATTTATACTACTGTTACCCCTACAGAATCAGCCCAACTCAAGTAGTATGAAAGAGTTGCTTTTTATGGCTTGCCCATCTAATAAGTAAATGCTGATGTGCAATTAAAATTTAGTTCTTTGCACAGTCTAATATTTTTTAACTGACGCATCTAGTAAGCCTTTGCAACTATACTGAAGGTAACAGAGTTGCACAGATTATAGTGAAAATATCCACCAAAGACAACAGGGTTGTATGTGCATAATTAAAGAGTGGCATTTGGCCTTGGAGTCTTTGTAGTAAGTGAAGATGCAAGAGGCAAACAACACAGCATAATTTTCAGATCTCAATATGTGTTTCCCATGATGGTAATTAAATAAGCCTCATACTACTTCTAAATTGAGCAAATACGATATTAAAATCATGGCAATAAATGTGAAACTCCATTATGGCCTTTTTTCTTCAAATCTACTTTCCATACTAGAACAGCTCTTTAAATAGATATTGTCTTGTAAAGCATAATCATGGACATTGTTCTTTGGTAGCGTAGTATTAGACTGCAGTGGCCATCAGGCAGTCCAAAGCACAAGATACTCACTTCTAAAACTGGATACTCATTCAAAGGACACATCTCTGTTGTGTGTGGGGGGGGAGGGGCAGTGGGGGGACTCTGACTCAAGGCTACTCAACTTTGGAAGGCCTGGGGGCCACAAGGATACAGCACATGCCGAGGGCCGCAACTTAAGCGTCGTTGCATGTACATTCAAGTGTACATGCAAATATATGCAAATAGCTTCTTTCACACTGACGGGCATGAATACAAAGATTAAGACAAGACTACATGACCCGTAGGCCCCATTTCAG